GGTGCATTCGGACTGATCTCGACATGTATTCATATTGGCGCATGGAGGGAAGTATAGAGGCGACCGAGTACGAAAGGCCGCCCGGTTCCTGAGCCTGGGTCACTTGCTGGGTTGAATCGGGAGTCGACCAGCCGCGCTTTTTGCGGGAGTGATTTCGATCCTCCATTGCCGAAACAGTCACCGATGGTGATGGCCGCAGCTTGGAGGCGTCGATGGATCAATTCGGTGGTTCTGCCTGAGGTATAAATACAGGTGTGCGTGTACTAATCTCTGCTATCGGAGTTAGAGAAAGGGAACTCAAGCTATTCTAGTCATCGCTTTAAAAGGATATTCTATGCAACAATTTGAAAGCTGTACATGTAAATGAATTGTTATATTTATTTAAATGAATTGTTTATATCATTTTTCAAGTCAAATATTTCCTTGCAAGAAACAATAATGTATAACTTATTATGAACATACATCATACTGTTATTGACTACTTATATAGTTTAACGGCACTAAAGACCATAGCCAAGTTTTTTAGACGAATTTATTTTCTAGACGAATCATAAATTCCGTAATCTGTCTAAAAACAGAGTTGACTCAATTAAATACGAGTAGAAGGTTTATTTATTTTCCTTTGTTTACCAAAATATCAAAAGTAAAGTACACATTCTACGTAAATAGGTCATAACGTTTTACAATTCGCAAATTATTTTGTATACAGTAATTATACAGCTATTGTGTTGAAATATTATTATTATTTCATATATATTTATTTAATAAGGTTAATTAAAATCCTTACTAATATTATACAAGGTGAAAGTTTGTATTTATGGATGGATGTTTGTTGCTCTTTCACGCAAATACTACTGAATGTATTCTAATGAAACTTTACAGTAATATAGTTCAGAATAGGATATGGGATATAATTAATAAAGATATTATGTTTATTGTCCAAAATATAACGATAAGTGTCAATTAAGTAGGAAAAAATTCTGCCATCTGCGAGCTATACTGGTGTAGAGTAAAAAAAACTCATTGTTTATTCCCTTCGACCACGCGGGCGAAGCCGCTTTTAAGAGCTAGTCCTTACTAGTATTATAAAGGCGAAAGTTTGTATGTATGGATGGATTTTTGTTACTCTTTTACGCAAATACTACTGAATGGATTTTAATGAAACTTTACAATAATTTAGCTTATACATAAGAATAAGACATATACATAAAATATGTATATAAATTATAGCCTAACTGTCTTTCTGTCAAAAGGTTACGCCTTCACCCTATTCTACGCAGACGTAGTCGCGGGTAGCAGCTAGTTAACATATATTTCTAAGTATATTCAAAAATATTATATGTTATTAACAGATGGGGATTATAACCAATTTTTCGTGCAAAATAAATTACATAACCTTTAAGACATAAATAATACTGTAAAATTTTTATGGACTTAAAGGGGACTACAATTTCGGCAAATGTATAATTTACAGTACCTGGAGAACCAAGCTTTGGTTTTTTTTTGGGAACGAGACTACCGACGACGGCAGGGCAACAGAGCAGAGCGACAGCGGTCGATTATTTTAAATACACATCTTCACTGTCCAGGTTGTTTGATTGCTGCAATTCCAAATCAGCGAAATCAGCTCTCGGACAAAATTGGTGACCGTGACAGGATATCGGTTTAAATCCATGGGCCGGTAAAGTCCAGAAGACCTGCGCTACACATCGTCGTGCGAGGTGTTCGATCAGTGTTAAATAGTGAACCAGGCAGCAGCCTCGGCTGTTGCATGAATGGGCAGGCTCGTCCGGATAAGTACCACGACCTCACAGAAGTCCGGCGAAAAGTGGAAGTATGACAAATACTTTCGCGTTTCGTCTGGTGAGTGAGGTAGCCGGAGCCCAATTTCCAAAAAGGTTGTCAACGCATCTGCAAACTCTCGGGTGTAGCAGATGTCTATGGGCGGCGGTATTCACTTAACATAAGGTGAACCGTCTGCTTGTTTGGCAACTTTTCACATAAAAAAAAATGTACTGAAAATGATTTATCCCAGGCAAATGATCAGTAATCTAACTTACAGAATCAATCGTCAGTGCTGGGTTGATATTGTTGTCCCTCAGGGATAAGTTGTATTTTTCAGTCGATTTTCAGATCGAGCTGCCGTTCACATAAAGAACCATTCTTGCAAGATTTTTGACCCCCTAGGGTGGCTAAGCGCTTGTACGATAGTTCCTAAAATGCTGTTACGAAGAAGTGGGACTCTAAACTGGACTGAGATGATTTGGTGTCCGCCGATGTATCGAAAGAGTGGAGTGACTTAGCAACAAATTTAAAACAAATACAAGCGAAAATTTTTCTACGCCACGTCTTGCATCCATCGTCGGATACTCCAGTGTAAGCGGAATAACACTGTTTTGTCGATAGCTCTCAAAGTGCATTTGCAGCATGTGTATTTATACGTTGTACTGATCAAGAGGACAACGTATACCAGTTTAGTTATTATGCGCCAGGGCTAGGGTTGCCCCTGCTTGGTGCTCAGTTAAGTACAAAGGTTTGGTCATGAACTGACTCACAAATCTTCCTGGCATCACATTTCTACGGAAATTAGCCCGGCAGACATAGCTTCTAGAGGAGTCAGCCCGAGCAAGCTTCAAGACTTAAGAATTATGGTGGAGTGGCCCACTATTTTTAAGTAAACCTAAAACGGAATAGCGAAGCGTTCCTATAGAAAATGTTGAGCTTCCGGATCTCAAAGTAAAGACGTATTGTGTGTCTGTTGAGCCTTCATTTGATTTTGATAGGTTCTCGAAATTTCAACGAATGATCTGGGTGGTAGGATGGATATACGTTAAAATTTATTCACAATTGTAAAACAAAGAAGGATTTGAGGCTTAGTGGTGATCTGAGTAACGATGAAATAGATAGGTCTACTAAGACCCTAATCAAAACCTGCCAACACGATTCCTCTCCAGATGAGGTGCAATCATTAAAAAAACCATAAAAGGATAAATCATAAATCGATAATTTTGTCACTAAACCCTTTCTTACATGAGCAGGATTTGATTAGAGTTGGAGGCAGAATCCAAAACTCTATCTGTGACTATTCTAAAAAACATCGCATTTTATCATGTGCACGTCATTACTTTACGAAACTGTTGTTTCAGAGAGAAAATGTACGTCATAAACATTGTGGGCCCGAATTACTACCTAGCATTATACGATTGTGTCGAATGTAGATAATCGGATTCTGGATCTAGTTCTTAGTAATCGTTCAAATGTAATCGTTGAACAGTCTTTACAACGAATTTGTAAGTTAGTTGATAAGCATCCATGTTTGTTAGTTAGCATTCCATATGTGGTTAAAAATGTTACTTATTTGCCCGAAAATAATAAGAATGTTTTAAAATGTTTTAAAACAAGGGACTGGATTGGAAAATTCATAAAATGCACTAACGCTAATGAAATGGTTTCAGTGCTTTATGACGAGTTATGGGAAGTGATTCATAAACATGTTCCAAATCGTATCCCGGCTAAATGCAAATATCCACCATGGTTTAGTTATTCCTTAATAAAAAGACTTGCTGAGAAAGAAAAATTTTGACGTATGTACCGTACTTACAAAAATCCGTTGGACTTAATATCATATGAAGCTCTCCGTGATTACTGTCACAAGCTTTATCGCTTGTGTTACTCTCGTTACATCCAAAACATGGAAGATAATATAAAAACTAATAATAAATCATTTTGGTGCTATATAAAACACAAAAAAACTTTTACACCAATCCCCACAATCATGCATGATGACAACCATGACGAGGCTAATACGGAGCCTGAAATAGCTAATCTTTTTGCCTAACAATTTTCATCTACCTACACATCAAATTAGTACTTAATGCAATTAAACGTCTCGATATATTTAAGGGCGCTGGTCCAGACCATTTACCTCTGGTTTTTGTTAAACGTTGCAGAAAAACTTTATCTTTACCACTGTCTTTAATATTTAACTACTCTCTAAAACAAGTTTGCTTCCCAGATGAGTGGAAAAAAGCCAAATAGTTCCAATACATAAAAAGCTACCGTCCAATTGCAATACTGTCATGTTTCTCAAAACTCTTTGAAGCAGTAGTGTGTCCTTTTTGACGAGGTATATATATATATACTCTGTTCTACACGGTTTTCGATCGGGCCATTCAACTGCCACTAATTTGGTTACCTTTGTGTCTGACCTAACCAAAGAACTTGATAATGGAAATGAGGTTGATGCCATCTACACAAATTTCACCAGTGCATTTGATAAAGTAAATTATGCTGCTCTTCTACATAAGCTTAAACACTGTGGAATTATGGGATCCTTACTAGATTGGTTTCGGTCATACTTATCAAAAAGACTCCAAAACGTATCAGTTAAACACCGAAAAGACATAAAACCGTCTTACGCAATTTCTGGAATCCCCAAGGATACCACCTAGGACCCATTCTATTTTCAATTTTCATAAATTATATTACTTCTACCGTAGACAGTTGTAAGGTTCTTCTATTTGCTGACGACTTAAAACTTTATAAAACCATAAAGTCCACTTACGACATCAAGCTTGTCCAAGACGACTTAACTAAAATCAGTGACTGGTGTGACAGAAACCATATGGAGCTGAATATAAAAAAGTGTGTCCACATAAGATTCACCAGAAAGAAAAAATCATTGGAGTCAACGTATAACATTAAAGGGACGTTACTGGAAAAGGTTGATGTTGTAAAAGATCTTGGTGTAATAATTGATAAGGAACTTCAATTTAAGGCTCATGTTGATACTATTGTAACAAAAGCGGCACAGATGCTCGGATTACTCACCAGACGAAACGCGAAAGTATTTGGCATACTTCCACTTTAGGCTGGTCTTCTGTGAGGTCGTGGTACTTACCCGGATGGGCCTGCCCATTCGTGCAACAGCCGAGGCTGCTGCGTGGCCCTACCACCATACAGACGAATATTGTTACGAATTGTGCAAACAGATATCAAAGATGGAGCAGATTAAACGGCACTACTGGGACCGGTTCCATAAAGAATATTTAAGCGAGCTGCAGCAGCGGACTAAGTGGCGAGAGCAGAGGAAAACGCTCAAATACGGCGATCTTGTCGTCATCAAGGACGACACTCTTCCCCCCGTGCGATGGCGCTTGGGACGAGTTAAGAAACTGTATGCAGGGGCTGACGGCATCACGCGTGTAGCCGATTTCACGACTGCGCGTGGCGTAATCCAGAGGGCCTTAGGCTGGGTCTGCCTGCCCCAAGCTACCAAGCCAGAGGACGAGTCTCTAGGTAACCCAAGGCAGGGAGCATGTTTACGCGCACGGCACGTGATCTGCACCAACGGCGGCGGGGCGCGGGCTGCGGGGCGCGGGCGGTGCGGCATCGGGAACGAGACTACCGACGACGGCAGAGTGACAGTACATTTGTAACATATTTTTGTTTTAAATATACATCTTTTTTTCTGTCCAGGTTGTTTATATTTTTATTTGTATTTATTAATAATATCGTTTTTAGATTATATTTTACTCAAGAGCAACAAAGTCGTTAAAAGTTCACCGAATATTTTAGCAAATTGAACCATCGAACATATTTTCTAGATTTTATCGTAGGTTACTGCAAGAGGCTGATCAAAGTATAGCAGAAAAGTTAGTTATATAAACAAACATTTATGCGTCGTATTGCAGACAAAATATAGTATTTTATATAAAATATCAGTTTGGACCCGCTGACCTTGTGATGTCGTCCTGCCATTTTATGTATGGTCTTCCTCTGCGTCTTTTCTCTTTTCGACCGTTCCACAACGTGATTTTGTTGGTCCATCTTTCGTCTTGCCGTCTCGCTACATGGCCCGTCCGTGTCCATAAGTAGTAATTTTAGCATTCACATAAGAACACACATTTTTATTGTTAGGCTTATTTTATTCCAGTTTTATGGATAAAAATTCTGCGTCCGAGTTTTCTAAATAAGTGTAATAAGTTTATATCTTGCTAAAACTACTAGAAACTAGCTAGAATATGTTTTATGTTTTAAGTTTTATATTTTATAAAATAAAAAAAAACATGCAGCTACTAAGTCATTTTATAATAAGTTTCATATATGAATAATATTATACTTTATTGGTACCTAGCGATAACACAAATCTTTGAGTCATTTTAAATTTGTAAATCTTGACAAAAGGTAAGCACTTCCGTATATCTACTTATCCGTATTGCAGACTTCATCGGATAAAAAGGAATAACGATTGAGGAATCTCATTTTCAATTTACTACGTACCTCCTCAATTTCCGATTTCCGGATAGTCGAGTTCTTGCGCGATTGAGCATTCGATTACTCGAATACAGTAGCTCTCTAAACGTTGATGTTTGCAGACTTTAATTGCATTTGCAGTGCTGACTAGTAAAAAAACCTTAAAGAGAAAAAATACTGAAATAAAAGGGTTTGCATATTTGATGTTTGACTCTCAGGTAATAAGCATAATATTCATGCTATAATTCATACGAGCTACCTTCGATGCTTTAGTTCTTTTACTAATTATTGGCTTTTATTTAGTTTTACCTGTCAAATCTTGCAAATTAAATTTGATCCATTTCCCAGTTGAAATTTTGTATACATGTGTAAATCGCGTGAAAATGCAAAATTATGATGACATGGTGCTGATCTGATGTTAGAGCTGGATAGTATCCAAAGGAACTTCGCAATGAAACGATACAACCTAATCGAGTTTGGGCTCATTTGAATCGTCTTGACGAGGAGGTAACCAGGGTCTAATAATTGAACTGGATGGTGGTTATAGGAACTCTGTAATAAAACAACTCAACCATCGAGTTTCGGCTCGTTTGATTCTTTATGGCGAGTATTTTATTTTTAGATGGTAATCCGTATAATGGTTTCGTATAACAATTTATAATATTCGCGTAAAAATAAAGAAATCGGCAACAATTGGTGAATACAAATGACGAAAATGATAAAATACTATTAAGAGTTCTTTTAATTCGGTAATTTTCACCGACTGACGTAAATGGTGCAGTTGGCGAACAAAACCAGGAAATGCTGCTACGACGATAGTGTTAATTGATTGACGTAATTGTAACAGGACTGTGCTGTTACTTATAATACGCCAACGCATTCTATTTTGGTAGATGTACCAGGACCACTACCAATAATTTGGGAGTGACGCGACTATCACACAATATTACAATACGAACCCAGAACCCAGAAACGAATCAAATATAGAAATATATTGATATTGACAGCTGATGCATCTGATTGTTGTTGTGAATATACCTTAGGTGTTCCATTAATTTGATTTAAGACTGTATCTATTTTAGACCTTAAAATTTCGACTAAAACAACTTAACCAACGAAAAGATATCTACAGATTCTTTGATTTCTTTCGGTTAATTATTTACCATTTATCTAAACATACAAGCTGTGTATACTGTATGATATACTTTGAATTAATTATGACTTAAAATAACAACTGATTTTTTTTAATAAAAAAATTTATGTTAGCTGTTTTTTAAAAAGTGTATGTTATTAGTAGTTTACGAAAATTTTCTCATTCACTGAAGCATTTTATATCGTTTTATGTAAATATATCTTAAACTTAGGTAAGATGGATTATTATGAAACATGCACTACTTACAAAAGACGTAGATTCCTTGAAATATGCAAATTAAAGCACTATTTTGTAACATTTATTGCAGATCTTATTATTCGAAGATCTTTTAAAAGCGACTGAAAATAGATAAGCTCTCGGTAAACATTTTCTACCTTTAAAATTATTAAAACTTTCGTTAGACATTGTTAACGTAATAATAAGACGGCTGAACTCACGTAAACCCGGTGTATGTACCGACTAGTTTCGGACTCATCGGAGGTCATTCATCGGGGTGAGAGTTGTTACGTTTTTATATTCTGTACACCTCAAAGTTAACAAATTAGGCTGAATGAGTTTATTTTAGCATATAATTATATTTTAATTGGATAGTTGATGAAGCAAAAATATATTTTTTCATTATTTAAATACATAAAAGAAATTCAGTCGTTTCATTTTAGCTAGGGTATCCTGTTGCAGTGAAGATTAAAGTATTAGAGGCGTATCGCAAATTGCTTGAATTCATTGGTATTGGTAATTGGAAAAGATACATAAGTTATGCTGAGTGAGAAACAAGTAGCATTATTTGTCTAAGGTTATTGAATTGATGTACATATCGTGATTTACTTATAGATTAAGCAAACAAAAGACGATAATGATCTATAGCTACCGAGTCTCCATTGTGTATCTAATTTGTTATTTGATCCTTGACGAAGACAAATAACATCCCAGCCGCTATTAATTTCGTTGTTTAATTATACAGATTTTATATGGGGCTTATGAACGATAAACATAAATATTACTTTATGAAATTTATTTCAAAACAAAAAAGTAAATGGATATTATTATTTATTAAATATTTGATGACTCCGTGGGGCAGTAGCCAAGGTATTGGCTACGTAAGTACAAAAGAAAAAATGTAATGGATGAATGATGAATCGATGAATGGATGAGGACGCGTTGCTCTTTAAGCCCGTTCGCGTTGTAGAATGCTACATTAATCGATCGCGGTTTGACTCTGCCATTATTACGCGTAGCAGAGAGACTGGTGGTGCTATTATTATTATTATTGTTTAGGGGTGTACTATCCATTTTGGGTCCCTAGACAGATAACGCAGCAACTATGTGCTGGTATTGGTTCAGGAGTAGGAGTCTTGAGGAGAAGTTGCCTTCAGCGTATTGCTGGGCAAAATACATAACCTCCGCCATGTTGACGGTTCGGAGGAGTTGGCTCAGCGAGTCCAGGGGGTTACTTCCGGTCGCTGGTGTTGGTGGGACTGGGATTGGGATTGGAGCCGGCTGTGCGGCTAGTTTGGGTGCCATGATAGGCGGGTTAGGTTTGGCCCAAGCGGGGGGCCATAGGGTTCTGCCACGCGGGGCGTAGAGGTGGGAAGGAGGCAGCCGTCGGTACGGGTGGTCTTCTGATGGCCTGAGGGGCCGGTTTAGTGGGTCTGCGCTTAGGCGCGTTGGGACAGCCGAGGTAGTTAGCTGTGTGGCCTTCTTTTTGGCACAGCACGCAAGCGGGCGGCCCGTAGCTCACTAAGAGTGCCTTATCTTTAGGCCGGGGGCAGTCTGGGGTGCCGTGGTCTCCTAGGCACTTGACGCACCTAGGCCTGGCGAAGCAATTACGGGCTGCGTGCCCGTATTTTTGACATTTATGGCATTGCCCTGGGAGCACGCCTTTATGCGGGGGTTCTACGACTATGTTGTCTAGTCCTAGCACGGATTGTATGTTAAAGATTTCCGTCCCTGCCGGGGTCAACTCAAGGTGGACCATGACTAGGTCTATGGGAGTGCGCATGCGCCTACTGGTCATGCGATGGACTGCAAGGACCGGGAGGTTTTGGTTCTTGAGTGATTCGAACACTCTGTCGGTGGATATGTTTCCAGGGATCCTCTTAATAACCACGCGGAGGATTCTATCCTCTGCGAGAGTGTAGGTGTGGTAAAACACCTCGTTGTCTCGCAGGAATTTTGAAACCTGCCTGTGGGCGTCGGCTGTCTCAAGCTGTAGCTTGATGCCTTGGGTAGTGGACGTGGCGCTAAATTTGACCCTATTAGATAGGGCGGACTCGATCATTGGCCACTTTGAGGTGTCCTGAACGAAGATGGGTGGTGGGCGCTTGTCTTGCGGCGCACGGGGGGCCGCGGGAGGCGCGGGGGCTGCTTGAGTAGCAACCGGGGTTGGGATCGCTGAAGGCGATGGGGTTGGGATCGCTGAAGGCGATGGGGTTGGAATCGTTGAAGGCGATGGGGTCGGTTGGGTGGGCACTGAGGGCCCGGCTACGGCCGATTCGGTCGGCCTTGACGCCTTAACTGGCGGTACGGGGGACGTGGCCGTTGATGACGGCTGGGAGGTGCGCTTCTTGCGCTTCTTTTTGTTCACCACTTCGGTGAACAAACCTCCTTCGTCCGCATCGGGAGAGAGGGGCGAGTCTAGCTCCATTTCCTCTTGCGAGGAGGAGCTTGCTGCAACATCGTCGGTCGAGGTGGAGGATGCCCTTGAGGAGGGTCTTGAGCATTCTTTAAGTGCCTGAAGGGCATCTTTAAAGGCTTCCGGGTGTTTAGCCTGAAGGGCCATTAATATGGCCTTAATTTCGGCCATTTTTTCCTTTGGTTTTTAATTATTTTAGTAAGCCCGGTGGGATGCCGGGGTGTGTCCGTATCCCTCCCTGCCGGGTATAGGCAGGGAGGATGAGTGCCTAAGTTGTGTGACCCTAGTGCGTCCTTGTGCCGATCTTATTGTGCACGCGGGTGTGTACTTATAAAACTACCTGAGGGCGCTAAAAGGCCAAACGTGAACCACCGCTGACTAGGGACTACACCCAA